GAGAGGCAAGATATAGACATGTGAAGGGAGGCCTACATTATAAGGCCCTAATGTCAAGATTGAGAGCAAGGACTTTGGACCTGGGAGGGACTTCACTGTATGACTTGGACACCACGCCTGATTTCCTCTAGGAGTGAGCAGGGGATACTAATAATCTTACCTCAAAATGTTAAACTACAGACTTTAAATATCTTTTGTTAGGTCTGGAAAGGAAGAATCCGTTTTCCAGATGTTCAGAGGGGAGGTGGCTACTGACAGTGGGAGGGTTCAGGAAGACTTCCTGGTGGAAGCCATCCTTCCCCTCTCCATGTTGGAGCCTTCAATCAGGGATACCTTCTGGGCTTCGTAATCTTTCACTTCGCTGCAGATGTTGACACTGTGGACTGCCTTTTCCTTCTGGAAACGCTTTCTTCTGTGACATACATTGTCTTCTCACCTCTTGACTCTTCCTCTCTGTCTTCTTTCCTCCTGCCCAGCAGAATCAGACACAGCCCCCCATGTTCTGTCCTCTCGACTGTCTTCTACATGGTTCCTCTGGAGGGCTGTCCTTCCCCTCCACTTCAGCACCTACTTTCTCTCTCTCTCTTTTTAAAAATATTTTATTTATTTATTCATGAAAGACAGAGAGAGGCAGAGACACAGGCAGAGGGAGAAGCAGGCTCCCTGCAGGGCCCACAATGTGGGACTCGATCCCAGGACCCTGGGATCATGACCTGAGCTGAAAGCAGACGCTCAACCACTGAGCCACCCAGGTTCCCCTCAGCACCTGCTTTCTGCTCGTGATTCCAAGTCTGTGTCTCCAGCCCTCTCTCCTGGACTTTACACCCATATTTCTAACCATTCATTATCTATTCTTTCAGCAAATTCTTATGGAAAGTCCACTCCGTGGTGAAGATGGACATGGTCTTGCCCTCGTGGAGCTTACCCATCAGCCAGGAAGACCATCACTCAGCAGCCAGGTCACACCATTAAGCATCGAATTACAATCATGAAAGGGGCTACCAAAGGAGAAGAAATGTCTACCTGGGAGATTGATCGAATCCTTCTCCATGGTCAAGAGAGGTGTGAAGAATTAGGGTTTGAGGTGAACTGGGTGGGGAAGTAGGGAGTGAGGGAAGAGGAGGAGGGGACTGAGAGGCTCTCTGGCAGAGAGGGGACATGGCTGCAGACCAAGTCAGGAAGGAGTGGGTGTGTAGGAGAGCCAAGAGAAGGTCAGAGCAGGCAGTGGGCTGTGGGGAAGGCCATGGGGGAAGGTGTGAAATGAGGCTAGGGCTGAAGAAGGGCCTGGAAGGATGTGTTGAAGATGTGGGCCAAACTCTGCAAGCTTGAGGAGAGTGTGATCATATCTAGACTTCTAAAAGATCATGCTGTTGCCGGGTGGAAAAAGGGAGCAACACTGGATTTTGAAACAGGACATGATGGTGAGGGTCCAGGTGAGCGACTGTTTTGGTCTGGACTAGGGTCATGGCAGCAGAATGAAAGAGAAGTGGCCAGATTCTAGAGGTACTTAGGAGATGAAATCTCCAGGAATTAGTGGCAGATTTCACAACGAAGTGAGAAAGAGGAGGTCCCAAGGATGATTTTTGGGTTTCTGACTGGCTCAACTATTCATGGAGCCAGGGAGGCCTAGAAGAAGAAGAGCAAGAAGTGAACTATGGGATATTTACAGGGTAGAACTTTGAATGTTGAATTTATTTCTTGCCCATCTGTGTTGGCGGTGATTCTGAGGGAGTCAAGTGGAAAGGTGGAGTAAGAGGTTGAGTATATGACATTCAGAAGGATGTCTGGAATGGAGGTGTAAAGGTGGGAGTCAGTGGTCTGGGAAATGGTCTAGGAGAGGGGTACAGAGGGTGAAAAGGCTTGGGCTCTGGGAGGTCCAACGCTAAGAGGTCAACAGGGGAAACCGAGGGGTGGCCAGAAGAGTAGGAAGAATATGGGGGAATGTGGGGCCTTGGGAATCAAGTGCTAGAAGGAAGGAGAGGGCAGCTAAGACAAGTATCACAGAGAGGTCAGGGAGATGAGGACACGGAGATTGTTCCATGGATTTAGCGACATAGAGGTCCCTGTGACCTTAGCAAGAGAAAGCCATCTGGCAGCATCATGGGCACAGGTGAGTAGAGGAGCAAGTGGAGAATGAGGGGAATGGAAGCAGGGTGCGTGGGAGAAAATGAGAAGGTGGGGATGGGAGCTTTAGTGACTTTGTAAAAGGAAGCTAGCTGCTAGGAAGGATCCAGCAGAAAGGGAAATGTTGATAAGACAGGAGAGAAGGCATAACCTGCAGTGATTGAGGCCCTGGGGAAGGATGGGGCCAGGGGACCCGGTGGGCGGGTGGAGGCTGATCAGGAAGGAGGGGGAGAGGGCAGGTGCAAATGTAGGTGCAGACAGGGGCAGTGGAGAACCAAGGGGGCTTCTGGCCGAAGCAAGGCAGGGACCAGTGGGGTGCGGTGGGGGACAGCGGCGTGGGTGCTTGTAAGAATGGAGACGGCTGGAGTGGCCTCCAACAGAGCGGAGAAGTGAGTTGACCAGAGAATCCTAGGAAGGCTGTTGTGCCACATGAGAGCCCACTTGAGGTTAGCAGTCGTGAAAGCAGAGGGACACCTGTGTCCCCCTTAGTATGTTTTCTCTGGAGAACTTGGCATAGAGAAACCAAGTATTGAGGTCGTTCAAGGTTGGCACTGTACTGGGAAGATGTGATATACGGGCAGAGGAGCAAAGACCTCTTCCGGTTATCGTCTTGATATCCCACCGGCACTTTATTTTCCATATGTCCCAAATCCACGATCTCATTACCTTCTTCCCTACTGCTCCTCAAATCTGTTCCTCTTCTGAGATTCCCTGTCCTGATTAATAATATTACAATAATCTAATAATACCACTAATAACCATCATTTATTAAGCATAAAGATCAGATGTAATACCAGATCTTTAAAAAAAATCATCTCATCTAAGCATCATAACAGCTTTACGGGGTATGTATTATTCATTTTACGGATGTGGAAACTAAGGCTCAGAGATGTGATGTCACTTGCTCAAGGTCTGTAGTAAATGGGAGTCAGGATGAAAGGAAACAGGTCCGTAAGGTCCGAAGTCCTATCCTTTCCATTAGCACAGCCCCGGCCCTTGAGTTCCCCTGCCCTAAAACCACCTGTCTCTGACGCCATCTCTTCTCACGTCCCCCACCAGGTCTGCTGTAGCATCCTGTTTGTTCACCTCGCATGTCTCCTGTATCACTTGCTGCTTCCTGCCAGGCCCCTTCACCCCACTCCGTGCTGCTGGATGCGTGCACTTGAATGTAAGCTCCCCGAGGAAAGGGATCATTATCTGTCCTGCTCTGTGCTGCATCCTCAAGGCCTAGAAGAGCACCAGGCAAACACCAGCTAACACTCAGTAGCTGTTGAAAAGATAGATGTCCTTTGGGAGATAATTCTCCATGGGAGTCTCACATTTCTGTAGGTCTCGTGGGCAGAGGCACTGAAGGCTCTCTGCTCCAGACTATCTTTTGGAGGATATCTGCATAGTGAACAGCTTCGGAAGGTACAGTGTCTCTGAAGGGAGGATGGGCTTGTTTGCTGTCTAGGGTGATAAGGTCTCTCTCCAGGGCAAAGGTTGGCAGGTTTGCTTGCAGCCCACTGTAAAGGATTGGGGTTTCTAAACTTAGACTTCCTCAGTGTGTGCAGGATCACCAGGACCCAGTCCTTCCCATGGGAGTTGGGGGTCAAGGGAAGCTGATTTGAAAGTGAAGCTCCTGTTGCCTGCTGCACCACAGCCGATGAAGCACTTTGTCTCTGGTCCTGGAGTCTCACGGCTCCTGCCAGCGTCCGTGAAACGGCAGCAGGCTCAGTCCTTAGACTGCAAAGGTAGAATCTTGGCCTTCAGAGTTTGTGGCAATGGTCCTATTGCCTGTCAGTAGGACAACTGAGAAACCACCTCCACCCCCCCCCGGTCCCCCAAAACACTGTCTCTAACACCAAAGTCCTCTAGAGCAGAGAGGACTCATCCCAGACTCCCCATACAGCCTTCCACGGCTGGGGAGGATGGCTCCCGCCTCCCTAACTTCACCCCTATTGCCCCACCCCTCCAACCCAGGCAGTGGCCCCTTGCACACCTTCTCCACATTGTGGCAACTTTGTCCTTGTCACACTCTCCCCTCCACAAGCACCAGCCTTCCTGCTCTCGGTCTCTTGGAGTCCTGTCCACCCTTTGAGGCTAGCATCCCAGCTTGCTTCCCCAAGGCCTACTCAGAGCCTGGTCAGAATTGTCCTCTCCTTTGGTCATCCACCAATTTTCCCATCTTGTAGGGTTCCTGGGTCCTTCCGCCCAGTATTGGGACTATCTAGGTAGGCCCCCCCTGCCTGTCCCAGAGGTTCCGCCGCGGTTGCGTGATCCTCTCAGTCCCCGCCGCCCACGGCATGCAGGAGGAGCTCAGCAGAACTGTATGGAAGTTCATCTGCCCTGGGAAGGCTGTTGCAGGGAGGGAGGATGGAAGGACGGTGGTGCTGGGGGCCGCGCTGTGGAGAAGGCGCTGCAGGGGCCTGGAGGGGAAGTGTCTAGGACCGGGCCTACGGCCTTGGCTGGGGCAGAGTTCACGGAGGAAGGCCACGGAGCCGCTCCTGGAAACGCCAAGAAATAAGGCCTTTGGCCATCGGGGCGCCTTCCTCTCTGAGGATGGCAGCCCTGGTGGTGCTGCCCCAGGGTCTGGGTCCCGCGGGGGCCTCGGGAGGCCGCTGGGGGTTAGCCCCTCTCCCCGCCCCCTCTCCCTCTCCCCGCCCCCTCTCCCCCTCCCCGCGCCCCCCCACCCCCAGCCTGCGTCGTCGGCCATCAGAGCCTCGCTCGCGGCCCCGGAGCCTCGCACTGACGCGGCCCGCGCGTGAGTCAGGCCTGCGTCACGGCGCCCCGCCGCCAGGGCGGCCTCTCGGGAAGCGAGGGAACCGGGCGCGCCGCGCTCCGCCCCGCTCGGTGCGTTCCGCTCCGCAGAGCCCGCGCGGCCCGGGCGCAGGGAGGGCGGCCCTCGGCGCGGGCGACCGCACCCCACGCGCTCCGCGGCCCCGCGCCCCGCGCCCCCGAGGGCTCGAGCGCGCGGCGGGCGGATCCGGGCCCCGCGGCGAAGAGGCGGCGAGGAGGCGGCGAGGAGCGAGCAGAGCCGCGTGCGCGGACGCGCGGCCCCGGGTCCCTTCGCAGCTCGGCCGCCGCCGCCGCCGCCGCCGCCGCCCTCGGGCCGCCCGGGAGGGACCTGCGCCCGCCGCCGTCGGGGACGCGGCCTCCCTCCCGGCTGCAGCGCGGCCAGTCCGCGCGACGGCGCCCGCCCGCCAGGTGAGTCGCCGGCCCCGCCGCCAGGTGGGCCCCCGGAGGCCGCGCCGGCCCGCGCTCGGCCCGCTCCTCCCGCCCCGGGAGCCCCGGGAGCCCCGGCCACCGCGCGGAGCCGCAGGAGGCCGGCGGGGGTGGGGGCGGGCCGGGGCGCGGCGGGGGGGGGGGCCCGCGGGGACCCCGCGACCTTGGGGAGCGCCGCACCGGGCGGCCGCCGCTGAGCGGGAGCCGGCGGGGAGCCCTCCCCCGGGGAAGCGCGCCGGGAAGCGGCCGACGGGCGAGCGCGGGGCGGAGGGCGCCCCCCAGGCTGGGCCTCGCGGCTCCCCGCGCCCCGCGTGCGCCGCCTGCGGAGGGCCGCGGCCCCGGGGCCGCCGGGACGGAGCCTGGCGCGGTAGAGCTCCAAGGGCCCCGCCTGCCGCGGCTGCTAGTGTGCAGAAATCCCGAGGCCGCTCACCTTACAGGACCCCGTCGCTGTCAAGTGGAGTAAAAAAAAAAATGTTTTTTTTTTTTTAAACCCCATTCCCCTTTCCTTCTTTGAAAAATATTTAGGAATTCGGAAATTTCTAACCAGGGCTACCTTGGAGGCAGTCCAGCTGTGACAGTGAGGCAGGCGGGTTGGGTTGGGGAGACAGGGCAGTGGGACAGAGAAGGAAGATCCTTGTGAGGGCACTGTCCTTAAAAGGAACTTCCAGGAGCTAAGAAAATCCTTTAACGGCGCCCAAAATATTCAACAAAAACTTTAGTTGGAGCCCGTTAGGCTGTCCTGGACACACGGATTGATGTCTGGAGAACAAGGTCACAGAGTGTTGACGTTAACAGTGAAGGATTCTTATATTTCATGCTGTGCTTTACATTATCCCAGGTCCAGTGGGGTGGACCCATCACCCAAGCAGGAAGGGCTTTGAGGTCACACCTGATTGTCCTTGGCTGTGGCCTATCCACTGGGACCACGAGAGGTTTCTGCTCTTCGGCTGCCTTTTTCTCTAACCAAGCAGCTGTAGCTCTAAGTAGGTGGTGAGTTGCAGCTCCACCTGGAGAGTGAGTGACTCAGTGCAGGAGGCACATCGTGCCCATCAACTCTGACTGGAGTGAGTTCGTTTGGCCTGAGTCACACACAGAGTTGTGTATCAGCTATTTGTGAGTTCAGTGGAGTTCTTTGCAAGCAGGAATGCCCAGAGCTCCCCGGATTTTGGGGTCACAGACTAGAAGTGGGCAAGTGTTCAGAGTGAGCACAGGCTCCCTGGCTCCTGGGCAGGAGTCCTGGAACTCTGACCTCACAGGAAAGGGAACCAGAGCCACGTTGGGGTGGAGGGATTGGAGGAGAGGCTGCGATTGTGGTCAGAGGTGGGCTCAGTACCCCGCCATGTGCCAGTGACCTTGGGCAAGTCACTTTACCTTTGGAGCCTTGGTTTCCTCAGTTACAAGATAGCCTACGGTGCTTCCTCAGGCTTATTTTGAGCCCAGGCTGGACACCTGGCAGATGCTTGCAAAATGTTGATCCCTCACCCCTTTCTTTATGGCTCTTAACCAGTGGTGGTTCTCTCTCTCCCTGCCCTTGTGCCTTGGTGTGAGAGAGGGTGTGGAGACAAATGAAAGTGTCAGGGCTTCACATGTGGTTGAGAAGGACCCATAATTCAGCTCAAACTGACCTCTGCCCAGCCTTCAGGTCTCCTCAGTAGGAGCGGGGTCGTGGGCGGGCTGCGTAGAGGCTGCGTAGTGGAGGGCAGAGCTATGCTGGGCCTGATGGGTGCCCTTGGCTGTCTGCAACAGCTCTGGGACGAGATTCCCACACTGACCTTGATGCCTTAGGATCGTGCCTGGCTGTGGTCTGCTCTCAAGGCATTTGCTGGGTGGACTTCAGGGGTCCCTTGCCCTTGGATCAGATCTTGCCATCCTCCCCCACACCTGTCCTATCCATCATGGAGTTGGAAGCCACATGGCAACCATCCTGGAGAGGAAAGAAGTGTGTCTCCTGCTTTCCCTGAGGGATCCTGGCCCCTCGCTCTTTCTTTCTGTGACGTGTTAGACTTGGTGCTGAGCTAAGATGCGTGTGCCTCAAGAGTGAAGGCAATAAGGGCATCCCCAGTGCAGCAAAAGAGACTCCGGTCTACTGCTGACAGTGTGTATGTTGGGGGGGGGGCGGGTAAACGCACCCTGAATCAATGCCCTCCCCCACTGGAGATGGGAGCAAATTTCAGAGATGAGGGGATTCTGGAGAAGCAGGCTCCTGCCTCTCCCCTCCCCTCGCCTCGTGCTCCTTTCCTGTCCACGTTAGCTGCAGCAGGGCAGTTCCGTCAGCAATCCCTTTAAGGCTGCTAAGCTAAGTAGCAGAAATAGTTTCAAGGGAAGATGGATTTGCGCTTTCTTCCTGGAAGCAGATCTGAGTTATCGCTCCCTCCTAGGCTGGGCAGCAAGAAGTTCTCACAGCCAAACATCTGGAGCACCAGGCTGGGAAAAGACTGTCACTCAGCCTCCACAAAGTCCTTTCACATCACCCTCCCCAACCTAGTGTCCCAGACTTCCAGAGGTCGGAAGCACAATACCACAGGTGGATCTGTATTAGTGCGCCACCCTAGACAGGCGGGCCAGTGACCTGTGCGTAAAGGCCTACTTGGTGTGCTTTTAGGAGGAGTGGCTGCAGCTCATGCCATGCTGGGCGCACAGTGATAATATCCAGGTTCTTACTGAGGCTCTCGTTCTGTGCTAAGTGCTTTATTCATACACCATCTCATTTAATCTTCGCTATGATCCCAGGAGATGGATATCGCTCTCTGCAGTTGACAGATGTGGGACTTGAGGTTCAGAGAGGTTTGATAATTTGCCCAAGGTCACACAGGTAGTGAGTGGCATCCAAGAATTTGAACTCAGGTCCATCAGAACCAAACTTTATGCTCTTAACCACTCAAGTGACATGTCTTCACGTTAAGTTCTTCATAAATATTTGCTGGCTACCTAGGCATCTATCCAAACGAGGTGATCTAAGTGCATGGGTCCAGTTCTTTAAGCTTGTGCCCCAAGGAAGGGGGAAATGAGCCTCCACTAATGGGAATTTGGTAGACAGTGAACATACCTAAACTTCCAAGGTTTGGGGAATATGGTCTGTGATGGCAGGTGGGTCCCAGGCTCCACTGTGGTGCTTTATTGTCCTGTCTTTTTCTTCCCAATCTCTACCACTCCTGACCTCATTCCTTAAAGTTCATCCAAGTCAGGGGTTGGTGCTGGAAGCAGTGAGGAAAGAGTCAGAGCAGGTTGGATGATGCCCTGAGGATTTCTGCATCTGCAGAATCAAGGACAGCCAGGCGCTGGTGGGAGCTCTGGTGTGTCAAGTTTCTCTGCTGGAAGAGTGCTTGCCAGGGATTTGCAGCAGTTTCTGGTGAGGCCCCAGACCCCAGAGCAAAACTGCTAACCCTCCAAGGTTATTTACAGCAGCTGCTGGCCTGGGCTGCTCAGAGGGATGCTGCTTGCCTCCTAGTCTTGTCCCATGGAGAGATCACTGTCCTCACCCCTGGGGCTTTGCCACTGGAATCCAAGGCTGCTCTGGGGAACTTGGCATCTAATTCTTCCTGCTTCTTCGTCTCTTCTCTCTCTGAGAAATCACCAGCCCTGGTAAAAACAGGCTTGCGTTGTCCTATCTTGCCTGGTATCTCCAAGCCTCCATTGATCTTGGGGAAGTTCCTGTAGGTGAGGGTGGATAATTGGAGTGTGAGTATTAATTGCCCCCCATCCCACCCCCCAGAGGACACAAAGACTTCTTCCAGAAGCCCTAGCTCCACAGGCAGCCATTTTGTGCAGACATATTCCTTTGAAAATTCAACCCTGGGTAGCTCAGCAGTTTAGCGCCTGCCTTCAGCCCAGGGCGGGATCCTGGAGACCCGGGATCAAGTCCCATGTCAGGCTCCCTGCGTGGAGCCTGCTTCTCCCTCTGCCTGTGTCTCTGCCTCTCTCTCTCTCTCTCTCTCTGTCTCTCATGAATAAATAAATAAATAAATAAATAAATAAATAAATAAACAAATAAATAAATGAAAATGAAAATTTCCCCATACCCCACCCCCATGAGTAATTACTTATATTAAAACATTGTTCAATATCAACTATGGATAGATCCAGTTATTTAAAAAAAAGAAAAACCTAGATATTCACTGAGTACAAAAAACTTACAGGTGAGAACATAAGCTCAGATGCAAGATAGATTGCTGTCCTGCATTATTCTCATGTTCATGACCAGGTATATTTTGTTGCAGAATGATTCTGGGTCAGGCAAGTCCTGGGCAACCTGAGTCTCCAACTTGGGAATTGACACTTAAAGCCCTGCCTTTACTCTGGGGCCTCATATGAAATGAAGGTGGGGCAGGCATGGCCAGGAGGATAATGCCCCAGCTCCTGGGCCCTGGCGTTATCTCACCTGCTGCATTTGTCCCACCAAGTTGCTGCTTGATCTTCCAGAGCTACTCAGGGTTCATTTGGAGATAACAAGTTGCCTCTCACTGTACTCCATCATTTCTAATTACTGGTTTAATTAGAATTTCCTCTGGATACTGTGCACTACTGATTTGCCACCCATTCTTTTACTCGCAAATAGAATCTATTGGTCCATGCCCCCAAATTCCTGCTGGTTGCATTTTCTCTTTAATTATAAGACTCCTGGGCTCTTGTAGTTTTAAATCACACTCCATATCAGGAGCGTTTTTTGATAAAGCTACCTTTCAAGGAATGTGAACAGTCACCTGCTGGAGTGTGTCCACCAGGTGCTGCCAGGTGAGTATTCAGTGATGATGTGGACCTTCTCTTCCCTAGTGGTGGGGGGTGGGAGACAATGGAAGGAGAGCCTGTGCAACCCAGCATCAGCTTCCAGAATGGCCTGGTGGCGCTGTCCACGGTCCTGGCACACCACTGAGATGACCTGCCTGCTAGGAATTTGGGGACTCCTTTAGAGCAGCTGGAACGAATATCCTTGAGTTCCCCCAGCTTGCATTATGTTGTTGGCTTTCGGAATGGACCTGGCCAAA